ATATAGTGGACAAATTATGTGAAACCTGAAGGAATATTGCATTATCAGTGACATGCATGACACAACAAAAATGACAAAATTAACTATTTTGAACATTAAACATAAATACTAAAAATTCAGAAGTGGTCTTTCCCAATAACTTCTTTCATCAGACAGGCACCTAAGACAGCTTTATAAATACTTTATCAAACAATGATTATTAATTCAATACCTGTAATAATAAACAAAGACATCTTTTTTCTCGAAGCTGAACTTTTGGGAATCCTCATTTTGAGGTGTCACCAGTTGAAAGTCTTTATCAATTATGCATATAAAATGGTGTATAACTATGCTATATTTTCAGACTTCAGCTTTATTTCAGTAACTAATTTTATGAGAAAACAAATATGACAATTGAAGAGGTTATTTAGCTGCATAACTTTTGTATTTGAAAGGAACTGTCTCATGCTTGCGAATGAAATTCAACTATGCCATTTGCATATTTGCATTTAAGGGAGGGGGGGGGGACACCCTGAAAGTCCTAATTCGACTCAAAACTATGGATTTTAAGTTGTAGGCATTTTTAGCTTCTTCAGCCTCTCTTACATCTATTTCATCGCATAAGAACCCCCTAAAGCCTTATTTCTTCCCATACTAGTCATGTTTGTCACCACCATTTCCTCATGAAGTCAATTATTTACTTTTCTTTATCGCCTGTTTTCTCGAACCGTGATTTTTTTATATATACCTTTTTTAATAACTCCACCATTTTTCATCCAATCTTCATGAAATTTTCACAGCATGAAGAAAAAAATGTAATAATAAAAATCTGAATAATGAATTTTGGATATGGAATAGTTTTTTGTTGGTGGTGTTTGAAGAGTGGATTTTCACGCATTTTTTGCAAATGTGAATACTACCTCAGGAAAAAATTTGTTAAAAATGTTCTAGTACGTTTAGAATAAATTCATCACAGAGAATTGAAGATCTATTGTTTGCCAAGATGCATGCAAAAACCTAATTTATTTCCAAGAAAAATAAGTGTTGTATTAATTACGTAAGACATGTCAACAAAATCCAATATGACCACCGTATCCATGGACATTTTTTTTTTTCTCAAATTTGATTGCTGATTTGAGGACTCCACACTATGCTTGTTCCAGGTGTGAAACTTGGTAACATTTGATCCACTAACAAGCGAGATAGCCTTCAGCTGCCCCTCCTTAAAACAACATTAATGTTGTTTTTTTTCTTTATGTAACAGAAAATAAATAGGAATATGTCCATGTTCATTCACTCTAACCATGATAAAGTATGGTCAACACAATTCTAAATAAAAATTCGATTCAATACACAAGCAATAAATTTGAGTTTGATCAGCTTACCCTCCTATCAGTGATCTGGATCCCAGCAGCTCTGAAGTTCATTGATAACTTGGCACAAGTAAGCTGTTACAGGAATAAAGTAGGGTCATAATTTACTGTAAGTTTGCTAGATAACAACCACATTTTACCAGGAACAGAGTAGGACAAGAGTAAAACTAAAAGGAGTAAATTGAGCAGACCATATCAAATGCACCAACACTGTGCGTGTGGTGCCGGGTGGCAGAATAGATAAGATTCTGGTCTGCATGTAATACAGAAAAGAAAATGAAGGGGCAGATAGCAAAAAATCATCATCTATCCATCAGTGAATAAGGCTGAGCCAGGACCAGGGAGCTTTCAGAAAAAAATCCTTTGAGATTCCATTGTAGACCAAACCTCAGGTTTTAGATTATCTGATGAAGGTCATAACCACAACATCATGCCGACTCATAGTTGACCCTCCCAGTATCGCTAACAAATAGCTTGAGGTGTCAGGGGAAATTTTATGATTTCACAATATTATGTTGAAAAATGACTGTTTAAATCTGCCAAGACATCACAAAACGATACTTACGGTGGATTTAACAAGGCGTCAATAGGGTTAAGAAATAAAAGCATACTTACAGCAAATGGAAAGAAACCAATGGTGATAAACCAGCCCAGAAGGGCCCACGGGCCCAAAAGCACCAAGCCATAGACAAGGCTGATGATGAGAATCACTGGTGCTCCAGCTATGAAAGGCCCCATGATGATGCCGTCCCAAATACGCTGACCGTCATTGCTGATGAAATTGATGATCTAAAAAAAAGCAAAAACAAAAAATAATAGAGACACTTTGAACATTCCAGAAATTAACTCAATCCCCCCTTAACCGGAAATAGTCCGGTTGCGCACTTCTGTGCCGGGCCCTGAACGCGACAGTACTGGAATGGAATGTTCTACTGCTTAATAATAACGTAAACACACATCCAATGAGAACAGACTATACTCTTAACGTGACCCTTGACCATTTCTTTATAAGAAACAGACTATTACACATTAAGGGCAAAGGTCACCTGCTTGACCATTAAAAATAACTTAGCACGTGGTAACGAAGAGGCAAATGCGAACGAGTTCTGGTCTTTCTTCCGAGCTATTTTTTAATGCCTGCTGCTGACCTTTTTCAATTGCAATATCTCACAGACTATCAAATATTTTCAAATACTGTACATGGTAATAGATTATATAATAACTAAACAAATTGTGTGTGAAATATTACGGCGATTGGAGTAGATTTAGTAATTATTTCCGCTTTTACAAAAATGCCTAAAACCTCTAGTCACAGCCAGCAGACCGAGTCTTTGGCCCCAGGGCTGAGTGAGTTAACTCAATGAGACTGAACGTTCCCAGCCCTGATCTGCATCTCAGGAGAAACATGTTTGAGTTAGTTTTAAAAAACCATTAGCAGCCCTAAAAAGGTAGAGGCAAGCAGCGTTTCTTTTTATACTTCTAATCATGTAAATAAACATGAATAAAAAATGGTGCCTATCTTGAAGCATTATTTTTCTTTTATGATATGAAATTGAAGGTACTACTTTAAAAAAAATGATTCTGCTCTATCACAACACAAGTAGGCCTACTGAAATTGTTTACTATAGGGTCTACAAAAGGTAAGAAAAATTGAAAATAAAAAGTTTCATTTGAACTTCTGCATGAGAATAAAAAGTTAAGTAATTGGTTTCGTGCAACTTGCTTCTTTTCATTCTTTAAAAAGAAATTGTAGACACTACCAGTCAGATTAAGTTGGAGCTATGGTCCGCATGTTCTTAATTAGTTCATGTAATTGATGATCTCCCTTCCCCTCCCCCCCCCCCAAAAAAAAAAGAAAAAAAGAAAACAAAAATTTCAATTAATCTAAATTTAAAAAAAAATAAAAAAACAGATTTACTTAAAAAATTATTTTTCATTAATCAGTCAATGAAAGCAGTGAACGTAAAAAAACGTTCAATTATTTTGCCAGCTTATGTAATGATGTTCTGCTTGTTATGTCCAAGGTTGAGCCACAGAAAACCAAATCAGTAGAGATCAAAGAATAGAAGCAAGAAAGCAAAAGCATAAAAAGAAAACAGTCATTTCAAATACTCATCTATAAGATGTGGCTAAAAAAATTTCTAAGTCACTTGAATGTTGTATTAAACTATGCATTATATAAAAGGAGATATAAGAATGAATTGGTTTGCAATCATTCACAACAAAAACTCAGTCAATTTCATCCAAGGAAAAACTAAGGCACAAGAAAATCAATAACAATAGAGGCTCAAACCAGTGTTCACAAACAAAAGGAAATAGAACAAATCTTTTAAATAACTGGACATGTAAAGAGGTGACTCACATCTCCAGTAGTTTTGTCTTTGAAACTTTTCACATGTAAAACTTTCCTGTACAGTAGCGCCAGCGATCCATACTTTATTCTTGCCGCTGTAGAAGGAAATATTGAACATACAATCAAAATAAAAAATCCTTGATCTCAGACTCTATGTATCAGCCAAATTAGGTCAAACACTTTTCTGCTTCAAATTATGTTATTCAATCCTATAATTGTAAATACAATTTGTGATACTCTGATAAAAACAACAACAACTCTATACAGACTTTTCAACAATTTTGGAAGATAATAAGAAAGAAAATACACTTTTTGCCCTAAAAATAGCAATTGACCTAATTTTGTAGATACAAGGTTAGAATTAGACACAGATGAATATGTGCTTTTGTCTAAACCATTGACTTATTCAATTTCTCAGGAAACCAAAGCTTCACAATTTACTAGATTAAAGCCTAAGACAAATCTAAAAAGTTTGAAAATTTTCAGCATAACAGTATATATTATGTCACGACGCGATGGAATCAGGCGCTCATTAATTTTTGGGCACATGGAGTTATTGGTATCATCTCAAAGCTTGTTAATTTTTCTACTTTTTGACGAAAAATATCCATCTATCTTGAGTAGAAGTTGAGATACATGTATTTGCAATTGAAGGAGGTGGGGGTCACCTGGTTTCAGAGGTAAAATTAGCGAGAAAATGGCCGCCAAAGTTTGCTGACTTCCAAAACTTAAGAGTCTTAGGAAACTGAAAAATGTACATTTTGTATGCCTTTAATCAAGGTTTTTTCCCCGTAAAATCCAGAGAGAAAATTGTTTTTCAATGCTAAAAAATTCAATAAAAATTGCCAAACAGACGGAAAAATGCAGATACCTCCGAGTTCATTATTTCGATGTGCATCTGGTTTCACCACGATGCCTCACATATTTACTGTGTGACAGCACAAAGGAACATTTATAAAGGACAGTTTGACTTTCTGAAATATACATACAAGTAGTAACAGCTAAGGGGAGGAAACAAGTCAGCAAGAGGAAAAGATGATGTTGAAGAACAAGAGAGAAACAAAACCTGAGAAGCCAGACAATGGTTTCCTTATCAGGGAATGCACCCAGTCCGTACATTGCTCTAAAAACATACTGCAAGTTGCACACGAACTGACACTAGGTGCCCTCTTCAATTCTTGAGCAAACTGGATCCGATAATAGTATTCTGAAAATTGTTAAGGTTTCATTGTGCCTTTAATGCTATCTATTCCCTTTTTCTACGCAGTTTTGTGGACGTTTATGGACTATTTCCAATGCAGGAATGGTAATTAATTTCTTATTCCACATCTATGATAAAAATGATAGCCTACAACAAATTTTTCTCACCTGCTTCAAAATTCATTGTCCAGAAGAAACCACCAATGAGACCTTGTATGAGAATGATCAGTCCAAGGCCAATAGCGTACCCTATTCCTGAGCTTACATCAACATTTCCTTCCGACAAGTACTCCAGGAAAAAGCGAATGACAAAGATCTGAAACATCAGTAACGAGTAACAGTTATTGTCCAAGAAAAATTCAACGCTGAAAGAGAAACTAATGATAAATGTATTTCAGTTAGGTCAGACAAAACCAAAAATCTCTGCTTCAGTACAAAACTGAATGTGATCGGCAAAAGAGATGCAGAGAGGGTAATCCAGGAATAATGCTCAGAAAGACAGAGGGGAAAATGCAAGGTATGCAAAGATGCAGTCTGGCTGAAACTGTATATTATATGTGAGAGAAAGAGAGAGAGAGAGAGAGAGAGAGAGAGAGAGGGGGGGGGCAGAAATACTGACTAAGGAACAAAACCAGACAGAAATACTCACTAACGAACAAATGCAAACAGAGCTTACAGCGATAGATGTACAGACAAAGATATGATAACGACAGAACGTATTAGACCAGGCGAAAAGAATTGGGATAACAGCAGGGATTCAGTTGTAACTCGAGACAATTTGGGTGTATTTACATGTAGAACGTCGAGGTTAGAATTCTCATCCACTTTGATGAGAGTACTATTTTCTTCAGTGAAAGAAAGCTTTTGACTTTGCAGGTACCCCCCCCC